GGGATCGTCACCAAATCCACCCCCTTTAAGGCCCAGCGTCCTTACTGGTACACCGTCTCGTGTCTACCCCCTTTGGGGAACAGCGAGAAGGCTGGCACATCGTCTGGTGTCTAGCTCTAATACCATTTGTACCAACTCAGATCCATCGCTAGCAAATATTGTCCTCTTTGGACTTTCCCTTTCGAGCTTCCCTTCAAGGCTTTAAAATGTGTCTGCTAGAGAAAGGTTTTCACACCCTTAGTGTTACGTTCTCCTCCCCAACCAATGTGGGATTCTCACAATCCACCTCACTTCGGGGCTAGTGTCCTCGCTGACACTCGTTCGTTTCTCCAATCGATATGAGATCCCCACCAAATCCACCCCCCTTTGAGGCCAGCGTCCTTACAGGCACATCGCCTTGTGTCTACCCCCTTCAAGGAACAACCTCCTCGCTGGCACACCGTTCAGTGTCTGGCTCTGCACTAGTAGATATTGTCTTCTTTGGACTTTCCGCTTTAAGGAAGGTTTCCACACCCTTATAAAGGCTGTTTCGCTTTTCTTACAATGGTGTGGAAACTTCTCCCTAATAGACACGTTTTAAAATCGTGAGACTGATGACGATATTATAACAGGCCAAAACGGGCTGCTAGCAGTGAGCTTAAATTATAATTTTTATTACGTAAAGTGATGTCACGTATACCTTATTATCTACGATTAATTTATTACAAGAAAATGATACATTACATCTAGAAGGCTTTGACTATTATAAATATTCTTTTTATCTTTTGAACTGCCCATCCTAAATTAGTTAGGGAGCTACATAATTTGAACATTCTAAGTTTTATATGGATAATGTCATTTACTTTTAAAGTTTATTATATTCCACCCTTTTTGACTTTTTTTTCAACCATAAATTAAATAAATGCTCTCGATCAGCTCTCGAACCCTATATTATTCGAATCAAATCTAAAGTCGATTGATCTTCTCGATCGATTGATTTGTTTTTTAAAAAACATGTTTTTATTATTAAAATACTTCATCAACTAAATTGCACGTATGAATCTCGTTTATTAGGAGCAAGACAACCAATCTTTAATAGTGTACTTGTCTCGATGTGCAAGGGAGCACAATGCTTTACATGGCTTATAGAGCCACCGTGTAATAACTCAAGCCCATCGCTAGTAGATATTGTCCTCTTTGGGCTTTTCCTTTCGGGCTTCCCCTCAAGGTCTTTAAAACATGTCTACTAGGGAGAGGTCTCCACACACTTATAAAGAATGTTTCGTTCTCCTTCTCAACCGATGTGAGATCTCACAATCCAACCCTCTTTAGGGTCCAGTGTCCTTGCTAACACTCGTTCCTTTCTCCCGTCGATGTGGGATCTCACAATCCACCCCCCTCTAAGGTCTAGCGTCCTCGTTGACCCTCTTTTCTTTCTCCAATCGATGTGGGATCTCACACACAAGGCCACTCTCTTTGGGATCTCATGGTGAGAACTATTAAAGGGTTGTCATTAACCTTTAAGAGCGAAGCATCAGACATACGAGGTCTATATTGGTATTAATGTGTTGGTTTGTACTAGGATCGTGCCCTAAAAACATATGCTATGCAGTGTCATTAGTTTATTGTCCGTAGATGGCTCAAAGGGTCTCTAATTGTCCTTTGACAAAGAACCTATTTTGAAGAGCTAAGGGCTCACACGATATCTATAGTTGGTAGGTAGAGGGGCCGTTCTCATGTCTATATGACCAAACGAGCTCTATTAGAGAATAACCAACTAGTTCTCCAACAGTAGATTGTCTACTGAAACAAGAGTTATATATGTCCTTCAACTGATCACACGGGAACAATTCCTAACCTTGAGATCACTTTCATTGAGACGTGCTTACGAAAAGCTAGACCTCATGACTCCACTGATCCGGGAGTGCTCAATGAAGCCTGCCTTTGAGAACCAATCATTGAAGATAGTCACGAGAATCAATGATTCAAATTAGCTAAGAGGAGTCATATGATATTGGGTTTAATAGCTTCGTGCCGAGACTTCAAGTTATTACATGAAGGGCTTGTAGACACGTGTTACTTATATATTGAGTGAATGAGTGTGGCTCGTGTCTATTTGTGAGCACATGAGTTGAGCTACTTACTCGGTAATTTTCTACTCATGTCTGCTGCCTTTTAACCTATGTAAGTGGTATCGAGTCGCCGGGTGAGGATGAAGGTATAGTAGATCTTAGCGACTACAAAGCTAATTTGTTTAGAGTATTGCTTAGTCTCTACGGCTTCTACCGTAAATCTATTTGATCGTGTATTTGTAAATTACTTTATTCAAATCATTTTTTTTATAATATATATAATAAGGAAGTTTTGTTATTTGTCATTTCTTTTAATTATTAAATTGGATAATATTAGAATAATAAAACAAAATAAAATAGCTTTATATGGCACGTGCTACATGTGATTCCTTTGTTTCACATTTTTTTCAACTTATTCTATTTTCAAGTCAACTTCAAGTTTTGTGATGAGGACAAAAACGTCTTTGTCTTTTTATATTACCTCCACATATATATATATAATATATATATAATATATATTAAATTTATAATATTTAAATTTTATAACATCCGAGTCTCCGAATCTTTAAATTTAATATAAAATAATACGATGTAAATGTTACTAAACCCAACCGGAATGGAAATTTAAATCAGGTTGAGCTTACAATCTTCAGTTTCGATGTTCGATGGTCACTATGATTATTGGACAACGTCGATGGAGAATTTTCTACTTTTAGAAGGGAAATAGGAATCCGAGTTACACCTTCTAAAAAGACAATGCCCGAGACAGTCAAATAAGAATCCCGACATTGCTCGAGAATTTTCTACCTTCAAAAGAATATTGGAGTCGGGTTGAAATAAGAATCCTAGTTGCACCTTCTAAAAAGTCACTGATCGAGACAGTCAACTTGATGAGCAGAAGCTCAAGGACATGAACGTAAAAACACTATCTTTTTCAAGAATTGAATCGTTCTATTATTGAAATGATTGTCAAGAAAGACACATTCGGGACTCTATAAAGAAATATCAAAGATCTACTTAGGTTTAACGTCGTTTACAGGCATTGGGGAAAGAATTTGAGACGCTCCACGTGAAGGCAGGAGAGATGGTGAACGATTGTTTGCACGGAAGAGGAACCGGTTTTGGAAGTGACTTACGAAAAAACACATAAACAAGAAACAGGTTGTGGCACCTATAGAAGATGGTATCGGAGCAAAGATCTCTAGAAGAAATGTTGATCATGGCAGAAGCGGTCCATATTCTCAATAGAAATCCAATGTTAACCGTGCAGAATATGACACAATAGGAAGCTTGGTGTGAAAAAGACTTATGTTGGATATTTCAAAGTTTTTGGACGTGTGGTTCGTGTGCAGTGGCAATAACTCTCTAACTAAATTGGATAAACGAAACGTTATCTGTATTTTATTTGAAGTTAAAGAATCCAACGTGTATCGACTCTATAATCCCACTGATAGAAAGATAGTTATTAGTCGAGATGTTGTATTTGAACGGGATAGATGCTCGGATTGAGAAGAAGAATTCAACAGCTCTATTTAGTAACGAAGATGATCCTATTCACTATGAAGAAGCAACTAAGTAAAGCCCAATTGGTGGTTTGAGGATATACTCAGGAATATGGAGTAGATTACAATGAGATGTTTGCTCGTGTAGCTCGCTTGGAGACTATCAGATTGGTCATTGCTGTAGCTACTCATCATGGACGATCCATTTACGAGCTAGATGTCAAATATGACTTCTAGCATGGTGACCTAACTGAAGATGTTTTTGTCGAGCAACCACGAGGGTTCGAAAAAATGAGAAAAAGGAAAAATCTACGAGGTTAATCATGCTACATCGAGCTTGGTATGGTCGGTTTTCTAGAATAATAGGTTAATTTTCATTCAAAATCGATACTGATCGACCAACCAACACGTGCCGGGAAATAACCATTCAAAATTATACATTATTAACTACAATAATTTATAAGTAATTTTTCTAAAATAAATAAGACAATTAAAATCGTAAATCGAAAAAAAAAAATACACCGTACTAAAATAAATATTTACCGTATTTTAAATCGATGAAAATATTGGTGGGCTTCCCATTGATGTTCAGCCCAGTATATTAATGGGCCTTATTACAATTGGGCCGAACCCGTTGATGTTAATGCCACAAGATTTGTAAGTATTTACAATCATGCCACTAATAAAAATAAATAAATAAATTACAAATTGAGTACTTTAAATTTAAATTTATTAAATAGAAATTTAAAATTTCTTGTGAATTAAAAAAAAAATAGAAATTTCTAATTTAATCTAAAAATATCTACGAATTTAATAATTAATTCAAATAAGGATTTAAAATTATAAAATATTTATAGGGTGATTTTTTTTTTTTTAATTTATTCGATAAATTAGGGTTTAGAGTTTATGAACAATTGCCTAGTTTTTTATTTCGAAAGATGTTAATTTCACGGCGTATTTGAATTTATAATAAAATTTTATGGTATCGGTTGAATAATCCCTAATGGTGTCGGTGGAAAATTTAATCAATATTTTATACCACGGTTATATAAACTAATTGACATCGGTTGAAAAATCTCGAGCTGCGTAGTTCTTCAAAATATTGAAAATCTTTTAACTTCTATCAACTAGTCGATTTATATCGTTTGATTGAAACCGACGTTATTTATCGCAACGAACACCATTTTTTTTATTAACAAAACCCATTTGAAGCGGAGCCGATTCTTGTCCCGTCCCCTGTCCCGACGTAGCGCTTCGAAAAATGGAAGAGGGGGAAGAAAACCAAGTGTAGAATTTGTGTAGTTCATGCATATATGGTCTCTCAACCTCCATTGCATGAAAATGCATGAGATTTTTGTTTCTCAAACACAAATTTAGCCTTTTTCTCTTCATTTTTAGGGCTTCCCCCACCCTCCTCCTCCGATTTTCAATTCATGCAGCAGAAGAAATGTTCGGGATGACAGTAGAGGCGACGACCGTGACAACAGTGGCGGTGGTAGTCACGATGGCGGGGTGGTTGCTCGGTGGAGTTGAGGGTAGAGAACCAGTGTTGCATAGAGTTGGAGGAGGAAAATACACTTGGACAACTAATGTTAACTTCACTGATTGGTCAATTCACGAGCACTTTTACGTTGGTGATTGGCTCTGTAAGTTTTTCATATAAACTTAGGGTAAGAAGTCGAATATCGATCAAATACGAAGATCGTTTAAAGAAGCTGGTTTTTCTCCGTTACTAACGTTTTCTTTAACAATTTTTAGATTTCGGGTTCGATAAACGTATCTACAACGTGCTACAAGTAAACAAAACGAGCTACGACAGTTGCAACGAGAATGATTTCGTTTTCAACGTGACGAGAGGGGGACGAGACGTGTTCAATCTAACACAAGCAAAGCCATACTACTTTCTAAGTGGAAGAGGGTTTTGTTTTCAAGGAATGAAGGTTGCTATCTTTGTTGAAGACTCGCCTCCCATTTCATCACCCAAAATTTCAAACCATTCTTCATCTATTCAACCATTAAAGCCTCTCTCATCCCTCTCGGTATTGATCACGCTTGCCTTCACTAAAATCGTTCTTCTAAATTAGGGTTAATTCATATCGTTATAACGTCGATTAGGGCTAGACCGTAGCCTTGAGTTTGGATCTGGTCTTAGTTTTGTTAACGGGGTATGATAAAATAAATTTAGAGTAGGATTTAAGTTAACTACAGACGTCGATGATTAGAATTAGGGTTAAGGTTAGGATTAGAGTCGTTAGAAATTTATATTTTGGTTATTATTCGAAATTGTGAAATAAAAATACTTTTACGATATTTAATTTTATTCTAAATCAGTTTCTTATGATTCAATAAATAATTAATTAAACATTTTCAGGTGGTATTAAATAATATAAATAAATAAATAAATAAATGTGAAATAAAAATACTTTTACGGTATTTAATTTTATTCTAAATCGGTTTCTTATAATTAAATAATTAATTAATTAAACATTTTTCCATAGTATTAAATAATATATATATATATATAAATAAATAAATGTAAAATAATAATACTTTTACGATATTTAATTTTATTCTAAATCAATTTCTTATGATTGAATAAATAATTAATTAAACATTTTCACGTGGTATTAAGTAATATAAATAAATAAATGTGAAATAAAAATAGTTTTAGGTATTTAATTTTATTTCAGATGAGTTTCTTATGGTTGAATAAATAATTAATTAAACATTTTCTTGTCGTATTAAATAATATATATATATATATATATATATCTATATATATATATATATAAATAAAGATTTTAATTTCTAAATTGTTATGTTAATTTAATTTAATTTTTTTTTGTTATCATAAAATTATAAATGATAATTCAATATTATATTTTTACAAGTTTATTACCCACAACTATATTAATTTTTTTAAAATAAATTTATAATTAAAAATATATAAAATAAAACAGAAATGTTTTTAATAAAATAAGAGGATCTAAGTATATAATTCCAAAACAAATATAAAAAATGAAAATAATAAATTATTGGACTTTGAACGGACCATTATCTCATTTACTTTTTGACCCAACCGAGAGAGGATAATTTAAATAATTACCAAATGACAGAAGGGCTTTTTAGTCTTTTCACCTTCCAAATTCCAAAAGCCATCATTATTGACTTTATATTTAAATTCTCCACCTTTTTATTTTTATTCTTTAAAATAAAAGAAAATAAAATAATTGTGAGAGAATTCATAATGGGTGATAAAAGTAATTAACCATTATGGGTGTGCTCTCACTCGAACTTCTTACTACGGTAGTCGATAAAATCGTCATAGTTGTTGTCACCTTCAACGACACTGTTATGGGTGCTGCTCTCACTCGTTTTTTTAGCTGAACTCGAACTTTTCACTACAGTAGTTGATAAAACCATCATAGTTGTTGTCACCTTCAACGACACTGTTATGAGTGCTGCTCTCACTCGTTTTTTAGTTGAACTCGAACTTCTCATTACAGTAGTTGATAAAACCGTCATAGTTGTTGTCACCTTCAACGACACTGTTATGGGTGCTGCTCTCACTTGTTTTTTAGCTGAACTTGAACTTCTCACTACGGTAGTCGATAAAACCGCCATAGTTACCGTCACCTTCAACGACACTGCTACCTGGATCCTCATTACGCTTATATTTTTAGTAACGACATTAAATATGATGAAGAACACAAAAGTCTGTTTATTTGTGTGGGTTTTACTTTAAAAAACGAAATTTGTTGATAGTGGCCATTCGATCTAGAATGATTTAGTCATACGAAATATCATATGGGTTTGAAGCGGGTGCTCACACAGAACTTCTAGAATAGTCTTTACGTGATTTCGACCAGTGAATGAGATTTCTACTTATTGCAATCACCCTCGAGATTACGCTCGGGATTCTTCACACCTGAGTGATACCAATAAAGAGACAAAAGAGGATCTTTTGTGTATAATCCAACATAATCTCGAACGAAAGTCCGATAGAATTTAATAAGTTTAGGGTTAAAATTGTCTTTTTGGTTTCTAATTTAATAATTTCATAAATTAAATAAATTGTAAATTAGGGAAAAAAGAAAAAGAAAAAGAGAATCTCAAGAAAGTCGCTCCGAACGCCTGAAACCCCCACCTTCCCTCATTTCCGTTCCGTCTCTTCCTCTTCGTTCTCTCTTTCTCTCTCGTTTTTCGATCCTAAATTCTCTGAAATTACACTGTTTTCCATTCAGAATCTTCAATCAATTCGCAGAATTGCAGGGTTTTTCGCCGCCTGAACCAGTCTCAGGGTTAGCCATGGCGGCGACTCGGTTCTGGGTTTCGACTTTCTTCTTTCTCTTTACAGTAACCCTAACTTCTGTTCTTCACGTTGCTCTTGCCAACTCTGAAGGCGACGCTCTCTACACTCTCCGCCGGAGCTTGTCCGATCCTGATAACGTGCTTCAGAGTTGGGATCCTACTCTCGTCAATCCCTGTACTTGGTTCCACATTACTTGTAACCAGGACAACCGCGTTACCCGACTGTACGGTCTCTGTTTCTTTGTTTTTTTTTTTTTTTTTTTTTTTTTTTTTTTTTTTTTNTTGGTTTAAAAAAAAAAAAAAAAAAAAGAGACTGTTTGTGTTTTGTTTATTTTCTTCATTTAGATTACCGGAATTTTCCGTTATGCTCTTCGTCTATTGGTACTTTCTCTTTAATGCTATTGTGAGGTTTGTTTCGTTCTCGCATTATCTTCTGTTTTGGGCAAGGATCCAGTTGATTGTTTCGCGAATTTGGTTGATCGTTGTGTCTTATTATCGTCATATGAGGATCTCGACTGGTTTCACTGTGAAGTTAAACCAATTTTAATGCTTAAAGATGAACGATAATCTTAAGAAGGAAGTGAAAATCCACCCGTCTGCGTGTTGTTTGACGACGGATGCTTGGGTGTGAAGGATTGGTGCGCCATCCATTGTGGTGTTGGAGTCTTATTTATGATAGCTCTCTTTACCTGTGTAAAAGCTCGTGTACTGTTGGCTTGATGTTATCACTACCAGCTGATCAGACATTTGATTTTGTTTTTCAGGGACTTGGGCAATTCCAATTTGTCTGGACATCTTGTTCCTGAACTTGGAAGGCTTGAGCACCTGCAATATTTGTATGTTGTTTGTTTAATCACAATATTTAATTCTTCGTTGTTTCACTAAGTGTAGATTTGCCCACGTTCTTTGAACGTTATGATTTGCCAATAATTGTGATGGAGTTATTTAAATTATTTCTAGAAATAAATTATTTTCTAGGATCATGTTTCTACTTGATGGTAAACATTTCTAAATTCCTGAAAAACTAGTAGGATAGGTACTACTTTGACTTTTGACAACAAGGTGTTTGGTATGTGTGTGTCCAACGAGTATTGGAGTGTTCAAGTGGCGGTGGTTCTTAAATATGAAGTAATAGGTTGGTTTCGTCAACTAGTAGAAAGAACTCACGGTATAATTGTGAGATCTCACATCGGTTGGGGAGGGGAACGAAACATTCCTTGCAAGGGTGTGGAAAACTCTCCCTAGTAGATGTGTTTTAAAAAACCTTGAGGGAAAACCTGAAAGGGAAAGCTCAAAAAGGACAATATTTGCTAGTGGTGGGCTTGGGCTGTTACAAATGGTATTAGAGCCAGACGCCGGGCAGTGTGTCAACGAGGACATTGGGATCCCAAGGGGAGTTGGATTATGAGATCTCACATCGGTTGGGGAGGGGAATGAAACATTCCTTATAAGGGCATGGAAACCTCTCAGTAGACGCTTTTTAGAAAGCTTGAAGGGAAGCCCGAAAGGGAAAGCCCAAAGAGGACAGTATCTGCTAGCGGTGGGCTTGGACTATTATAATAATGCTACTGAGGAGACTTGGATATCTTTTCTATTCCAAACTACTTCCAAACTCTACTGACTCTTATACTTACCTACACGCCTATTTACAACCCTCCACTCTATCCGACACAATATGAAGTTCAGTTGAAGAGCCTCATGCTTACTTCTCTTCTAACCATTTTCCAAATTTGTTCTCCCCCCTAATGTCCTTTCTACCTGTTTCTTGTATCTCCTCATGGGATTCTATCTAAGGGAAAGCCTATCACAAATTGTCCTTTTAATTTGAATTTTGCTGCTCCTTACTTTCTCGATTAGTTCTAATGTAAAAAATGGTTGGTATGAAAATCTCGTGTGATATACTAAATATTTAATCTGGGTTTGTACTGATTGTTGATTTTTTACTCTGTTGCCACTAAATATGTAGGGAACTTTACAAAAACAACATCCATGGAACTATTCCAGATGAGCTTGGAAACTTGAAGAGCCTCATCAGTTTGGACCTGTATAACAACAACATCACTGGACGAATCCCTTTTTCTTTGGGGAAATTGAAATCTCTTGTGTTCTTGTGAGTTTTGTTTACATTATTCATCCTCGTTCAGCTAGGTTATTTTTTATTTTGAAGTTTTATGTTCTTTCTAACTTCAACTTGTATGGACCAACAGTCTTTATAATTTTTTAGTATGATCATCATCTCGCAAGAAGTTATTGCTTGTGAATATTTCATTCTTAGAATTAACTCTACAATGTTTTGAAAAACAACTTTTCTCTATCCATTTTCTGAAGAACCATCTCTTTCCGCTTCTGCTTGATAGTTGATAATAGGATTATGAAACCTATGGCTGTGATTTTTCTGTTACTGAATTGGAAGGAAAATCTGAAAGAATGCTTTCTCTAGCTATCCTTTCTTTTCAAATTTTTGTCTGAACTTATTTTTTGTTTTGCAGACGGCTTAATGATAACCGATTAAATGGACCAATCCCAAGAGAACTGACTGCAATTACAAGCCTTAAAGTTGTGTAAGTCTCTGTATAATTTCACTGTTGTGTAGTAGTCATTTAGGTGATATACATCCCTGGTTTAAATTTTGTGCAATGTCATGTGATCGGTTTATGATGCATTGTATCTCCTTTGTTTCAGGGATGTCTCAAATAATGACTTGTGTGGAACAATACCAACCAGTGGACCATTTGAGCACATACCTTTAAACAAGTAGGCTTCTGAATTTATTTCCTTCCCTATTTTTATTCTCTTACTATTCTATATTTTGAAATGCATAAAAGTGTGAATGGCAGAGTAACACTCCTTTGCCAGCATCAAGTCAAAGTGAAAAAAGATAAGAGAATGAATGATACTTTGTTTTTATCATAATATGTGGACTTAATCCCCCTAATATTGCTGCGCTTTAATCAAAATTAGTGTCTGTAACGATGTTGCTAGTAGAGATATTTCATTATTTACCTTCTCATACGTTGTTCGGTAACTAATTGGTAGATCCATCCTTACCCAATTAAGGCAAGAAAATGGAAATGGCTTTACAGGCTCTATTAGTTAAGGAAATCGTTCCCGAGCAGAGGGTGATTCAAGAGGTCTCTCTTACAAGATTAGAAAAAATCTTTCCCCCCATCTTTCTGAGACTTCATTTTCAACGAATCGCCATTCCTCCATGCCGCTACACTTTTGCCTAACCACACAACAGATAACTAGGAACCAATGGTGTTATTACTCATATACCCTTCTCTCACACAAACCACCCTTCTCTCACACAAACCACCCTTCTCACTGTTCATATCTCTACTTTTGAGCTTCTAATTGGTTGGCTGGCGTAAATCTCTCTATTGAGTATTGGGCCTACCACTTATATGATTGAAAGTAATGTCGGATTTGGAGGCTTGTGATAGGAGGCTGAGGAATTAGCCCTCAAATCTTAGATATTCCATGTGCACATTTATCTGCTTGCTGCAGCTTTGTGTATATTATTGTTTACTCTTTAACTTGAGGCTGCGATGTCGAGACTTTTGGTTCTCATGATTTCGGCAAGGCCATGTAACAAATAATTTCGGCAAGACGATGTCGAGACTTTTTCCTAACTAGTTTCTTCCCACTGCTTCAGGGCCATGTACATGATATGATGCTTTGTAGTCTTGGTTCTCTCCATCTTTGAGCAAATATTCTCATGATTACTCTTCTCCATATACTAATCAACATGTGTTCCCTTTGTTGCAGCTTTGAGAATAACCCTAGAATGGAAGGACCAGAATTGTTGGGACTTGCTAGCTACGACACAAATTGCACATAGAAGGTGATGGCTACAAAATTACAGCTTCAGAATGAGATAGGGATTCGGGGGAAAAGGTAATACTAAACTCCATAGTGAATTGGGAAACACTATAATCTAAAATGACATGACAGACTAGTGTTTGTAAATTGTAATTCCAAATGCTTTTGGTTGGTATCTGTAACATTATTTTTCTTGTGTGACCATATGAATTTGTGCTAATGTAATTCTATCAACTGTTTGTTCATCTTGTTGTCTGTTCAGTGAAGAAGAGTTGGAATTTATCTTATTTTGATTTTGTCAACTTTCAAAATTTATCTTATATAAGGTGTTGTGGGGTATAGATCAATGAACATTTGATTTCGTAATCAGCAAATGGATAAATGAGAATTCCTCTTAATTTGGAGCAATTTTGGGAGAATGCCAGAAGAATGTAACTAGTAGTAGAGTTTAGAGGTATGAGAGTTTAATTATGGTATAATTGATTTCCATAAATCTTGCCATATAAACTTAGCTATCTAAATCATATTTGACATCTCTATAAAATCTCTTGTAGAACAAATGTGATTATCTAAAGATGCCTCAATTTGACTTCATCTTATAATTTTTATGAATGTGATGTCCCACATTGGTTGGGGAGGAGAACAAAACACCCTTTATAAAGGTGTGGAAACCTTGCAGATGCGTTTTAAAGCCTTAAGGAGAAGCTCGAAAGGGAAAGCCCAAATAGGATAATATCTACTAGTGGTGGATTTGGGTTCTTACCACGAAGGAACAAATAGGCAATTAAATGGATAATGGTTTCATGGGGAAAAAAGATGAGGTTCTGGAAAAGGTTTAAGGTTTCGTCTTTGTTTACCTCCTGAAATAAGGGAAGGTCATATTGGTTCAGGTTCACGAGTGAAGTTCGTAAATAGTTTCATGGGAAAAAAAGATGGTTGAATTTACTATGGGTATAATGAACATGGCTCTTGACTCTTAACCAATTTAAGACGATATTTAGGGCAAGCTTCGTTTAAGTTTATATTAAAATTTAAATTATATTTTAGGTTTAATTTTTTGGTTTATGACTTTATTTATTTATTTTTTATTATTTTTATTTAGTGATATAAGAGCTTTTTCAACCTTTTGTCTCCCATATTTGTAAACAAAAAGTTCAAATATTTATGGCATAAGTTTGAAAGTTTATATTTTTTAAAATTTAGGAATCTAATAAAAAAAATAATGTAGGTATTAAGATGGCTGTAAATTAGTATTTAACCCAAAAAAAAGAAAAAAAAATCAATTAGGAATCTAAAGCACTAGACTCAAGTTTTGATCCTCGTGTTCAAATCCCACTTTTGACAAAAACCAATTATCTAATGGATAAAAACGGGGAACTATTGTTTTGAGTTGAGTTTTAATTATGAGTCAGGATGACCGAGTGGTCTAAGGAGCTAGACTCTAAATTCTGGTTCCCATGAAACGGGGTGGGTTCAAATCCCACTCTTGACAAGCATTTATATCTAAATAAATATTAATGGATGACCGAGAGGGCGTAACCCACTTAAATTTTTTTTTGATATCAGACCATATTGAAGGTTTTTCATCCCTGATCCCCAATAGCATGTTCTCTATCTCGTCAATGGTATCACCATCGGTTGGCAAGGGAACAGACTACTCTGGATCTTTCTTGGGTCTTGACAAAAATACAAGTCAGGATGGCCGAGTGGTCTAAGGCGCCAGACTCAAGTTCTGGTCCTCGTGAGAGGACGTGGGTTCAAATCCCACTTCTGACATTTAGTAGTCATTTGATTAAAATTTAATTTTAATACCAAGTATATTTTTTAATCACTTTATGAGCTAATAATAACACCAAAGAATTCTAGCTACTATAATGGATAAAGATGAGGAACTATTGTTTTGACTTTTAATTTATAAGTCAGGATGGCCGAGTGGTCTAAGGCGCTACACTCACGTGTGCTACATTACATGTTTTGGTTCCCAAAACCAAAATGCATTCGATAACGACATATCTTTTTTATCTCACCAAAAAGCGTTATGAGATCAGCTTACTCGAATTTATCTAGATTTTCAAAACGGTATATATTTAAAGCTAAATTTTAAAGAAAATAAAAGATCTGCCTCGATTTTTCAAAACGTTATAGGTTTACACCTAATTTTGGAAGAAATTAAAAGTTAGGTGGACTGAGTGGTCTAAGGTTAACAAAATAGTTATTGGTTCTCGTGATGCATAGAGACGAAGACATGATTGTTTTCTATCTCACCGATAGACATTCCATTGGAGGCATCATCATATTTTATATATTTCCTTCTATGCATTTTAGATCATTGCATCACGCATAAACACTATAGTTGAATCGGCATCTCCACCTTTTGTTAGAAAATTGTGCACCATAACTTGAATTTGTCGAGTTTTGTAAGGTGAGCAAGGTTGATCAATTCGACCGATCCAATTTGATTCAATTGGTTCAATCTAATTCAGTTCGACTAGCCTAGTTTGTTGAGGATTATTGAGAGAGTCCCACATCGGTTAATTTAAGAAATGATTATGTGTTTATAAGTGGGGAATACTATCTCTATTGGTATGAGGCTTTTTGGGGAAACCCAAAGCAAAACTATGAATGCTTATGCTCAAAGTGGACAATATCATATCATTGCAGAGACTCATGATTTCTAAATACTTTGAGAATATTTTTTATAATTTAACCAAAAATACTTTGAAAATATCCCACAGCTTCAATTTTGCCAACTGATAAACATGAGGCAGCTTAGTTGACGGCTCATTTCTCGATAGAATTGAATGGAAAATCGAATGATCTTGGAGGACATGCGGAGTTGCACGACTGAACATGCTGCCAAACTGGTAAGTAAAACAAATCCTTGAAATCTTATCATTTGTTCAGAACCAAGTTTCCATAGAAATTTGAAGAAAAAACTTGAAATCGCCCCAAATTATGTTTCTAAATAGTGCAAGAAAATGGCATATAATGAATTGTCGGATGATCAAGAACTCGTGAACTACAAAGAGAAACAACAAATTAGGGATTTGAGGGAATTGTGTTCTGCTTTTATATGAACTTTAGATTATTGAGATGCGATAGAATGAAGAACCCTAGCAGAATCTCCATAATCATCCCTGCTCCTCCAATCGGTTTCTTGCTCGTTCCACCGTCGCTTTTCTCGTTGGCAGTGGACGCACTCCCATGAACTGTAAATCAAAATCACCGAACAGAGAGAAACAGTTCAAAACCGATTCAATCTACTCTAAGGTAATGATTTTCTGTTAAGTTAGATGGAAATTTTGGGTTTGGTTTTTACCTTTAGAATCTGGAGCACTGCTTGGTTCACTTGTGGAATTTGACTCTTTGAATATCTTAGCTTCTGTAGAGTTTGGTGCTAAGTGCAAAAGAGCTGAAAATCCATATACAAAGCATGGTTAAATACAATACCCAGAAGGTGTTTGACAAAATGCCCAGCTGAGAATTAGAGTTCCGAGCCGTGGAATTTTTTTAATACTGATGCACTCAAGGTGTTTGACAAAATGCCCAACTGAGAAATTCAGTGGGAAACCATGAAATTTGAGTACAAACAACTACGACTCGATCCTAAGTCCATCGCTAACAAATATTGTTCTCTAATTAGTCTGGTGTGAATTTCCCTTCAAGATTGTTAAAACCCAATCACACAGCTAGCAGATATTATTGTTCTCTGATTTTTCTCTTTTGAGCTTACTCCCAAGGTTTTTAAAGACCAAGTCCACCGCTAATCGATATTGTTTTTTAATTTTCCCTTTCCGGGTTTTCTCTCGACGTTTTTAAAACCCAAGATTTCGTTCTCCTTCCCAATTGACAGATTTCATACTCAAGGTGTTTGATCAATGCCCAAGTGAGAAATACAGTGATGAAAAACACAGGAAACAGTAGAAAACCATGAGATTAGTTAACTTACAGATACACTCAGTGATATTAGAAGGAGCATGGCAGGCATTAGGGAGACCCAAAGCGAGGGAGCCATTGATTTTGAGGCCAAGATTAGGGTCATCCTTATCCTTGATAAGAACACAGAGGCACTTCTTACTCTTCTGCACCACCTGCTTGAGCCCACTGCAGCAATCAATGGTAGGCGTTTTGGCATCGCCGCTAACATAAGGCAGGCAAGGGGCAAGGCCGATGAGTTGGTCTGAGCACTCAGTTCTATCTTGGTCTATGTTAGAGGCTGCAAAAGGAGCTAGCAGGAGAAGCAGCAAATTGCAGAAGACAAAGAGAGCCATTGGAGATGGTGAAGAACAGAGAGAGGGAGATGGTGGGAATGGAGTTGTTGGGTGTTTTGTTGTGTCAGTTTAGGACTGAACTTGCAGGGGAAGGAGGAGAACGGAAGCAAAGGTGTTAAAAGGGAGAGGGAAGAGGAGAGGCCAAATGATTCTCTGCGTTTATCAAGGAGCTATTTTGTCATGTGAAAGGATGGTATGTCTTCTTCTGCTCTAGCTTTTTTTTTTCCCCTAAAAGAAAGGTTAAATTTTAATTTTGATATATATTTTATTTTAAGGTAGGGACGAAAAAAGCTTTCTATATTCCATTTTTATTTAGTTTTCACCTAAAAAGAATATTGATGTGATGTCACTCGTTGGATTGGAGAGGAGAACAAACCACCATTTATAAGGGTGTGGAAACCTTCTCCTAGTAGATACGTTTTAAAGTCTTGAGGGGAAGCCCGAAAGAGAAAACTCAAAGTGGACAATATCTGCTAGCGGTGGATATGGGCCGTTACAAATGATATCAGAGCCAGACACGGGACGATGTGCCAGCCTTCTCACTGTTCCCCGAAGGGGAGTAGACACAAGGCGATGTGCCAATAAGGACGTTGGGCCCCGAAGGGGGGTGGATTTGGTGACAATCCCACATCGATTAAAAGAAGGAGTGCCGCTGGGTCACGAAGGAGGTGGATTGTGATGTCCCACATTGGTTTGGGAGGAGAACAAATCACCATTTATAAGGGTGTGGAAACCTTCCCCTATCATATGCGTTTTAAAGCCTTGAGGGGAAGCCCGAAAAGGAAAGCCCAAAGATGACAATATCTGCTAGTAGCGGATTTGGGTCGTTACAATTTATTTATTTATTTTATATATATATATAAAAGACGGGATGAGACAGAGATTTGGGCAGGGTAGGAAGCAAGGAATATAATCCCCGTCTACTATTCTGGTTAGCTAGAGGCCGAGGAAAATTTCTTCTCGACTCTTCTCATTTCTTATTTATATAAAGACTTTTCATTCTGTTTGGGACGGATTTCTACGGATTAAATAGACATCTCTAACTATAACGAAAAAAAAGTCGTGCGGGCCTTTATTTCGTTAGGGGTATGTTTTGGATCGTAGGTGTGGAGGTTTGTAGTGAGAATTTAGAAATCTACCCTCGCACAATAAATCAATAAACCGAATAAAATGATATCATAAGAATGCATTACTTCAAAAGGTTAAATTGAGCTGATTTTAATGATAATTGTTATGCACTCTCTTCTTTAAGATTACACGTTTGATCATTCATTCTCGTCGTTGTAAAGATTAAAAAATTGCTACCTCCGAGAAAAGCGTCTAACTTTTAAAAGTGAGTGTTATTTTCAAACTCGAGAAAATGAACTTAGCATTGATTTTTTTTTTTTTTTTGTCTTATTTGATTTGTTTTAGTTTGAACATATTTATAAAGTTGGAATGTATTGCTTTTTTTAGGTAACCCGTGATCTTAATTAGGCCTCCTTGGATCTTGGCTAATCCGTGATCTGTTATAGATAAAATTAATTATTTGTCATGTGGGACCTTCACCATTTGTATTTGCAAGTAGGTAGAATATCCGCATGTGATGTGTTTGTTTTTCTGTCACATGAAACTTTATTCTTAAATTTTGTTGGGATATATTTGTGTTACGGTGTGTCAGAAAGATTGAGTGACCGGAGAAATCGGTCAATCTAATACGACCTATACGATTTGATTTCGATTATAATTTATGCATGTTAGTTCCGAGGATTACCCGCATGATCTACGCTCCCTATAGGACGGATCTGCATTGCCGGTGTGATCCACATCCCTCCATATGACGATCTGCAATGCATGGTAATCCAATTGAATTATTAGGTCATATAACACTAATCGACCCCATGTCTGGCTTGACGGCATGGGCACTAGAGTAGAACTTGATAATGCGGGTGTTGGAGCCTTTAATGACTCCGTTAAATGGATGGCATCGTACATACTGTTGACGGCTTGGAGAGCCACCCTTTTCATTCGTAGATGTCGTGGAGGTCTATAAGTTTTTAGTAGCGTCCGAGCAGTTCTCTTATGCATGTTTTGGTAGGGAGATTATCCTATTGATCACCTAGAGCATGGTATACATATTATAAACATTCATGCGGGCTTATTAAGGAGATATCATATATGTAACAACCCAATTTTTCTACTATAATAAAGTTGCTACTATATGTATGACATAACTAAAGCATGCGAAAAATATTAATTTAAAATATCTCATAAAAGGTATCATGGATTTTAAACTTGGGTCGTTATGTCATATGCCTCAAAAGACACTTTTGCCCTCAAAAGTGTCTAAATGTCGGGATAGCTCCAGATATTTTTCTCTCATCTCATTTTTTCGTTCCAATTTAACTTTATTTGCTTTGTGATTCTGTCACAATACCTTGAAAAAGGCAAATTCTCTTTTGCATAGGATTTTCACTTCTAGGGCTGCGTTTCTTACCTGTCATTCTTCGTAACTCAGGTCATCATCTATACGCAAGGGTTCTTACACGTTATTGTCCCGATCTTTTGTTTGATGTAACACCCGAGCCTCGATGAGAAATTAAAAACTCAAATTTTCTTTTAAAGATGAATTTTTGAAAATTTATTGAAAATCTTTAATGGCACTCGGAGACCATTTTCGAAAGCCTTGGTTTATTCAAATACGCCAAGAATCAAGGAAGAACAAAAGGTAAACATTTGAGGACTTGATATCGGTTGCCCCTAATATTCGAAAGCCTTTTTTGGACTTAAGTTCCGCATTTTTAGTATGTTAATATTAGAAGGATTTCACATCAGTTTTACGAAGGAAGCTGGAGTCAATCCAAACCGGAAATGTCGTTTTACGTTTAAAGTTTCTAGTCGATTCGCACTCGTACTATCATCTCCACGAATCAGAACATGTTAAAGACGTTGGAAGGCATTTTTGGACAAGTATATACTATATGTTTGTTATAGTAAAATTGTTTGCTTTTCTACGCTTAATCTCAAATTAATTAATTGATGTTGGGATGATAATAAACATATTTTTAATTACTAATTATTTTAGCGTTTCGAAGTGTCTACCATATAAAGCTTAGAACGACGATACAATACCCAACATAATGACATCACAGTTGAGTCGCCATCATGAACCAATCAAGCTACGACACATAAAGTTTCAGAAGAGTAACAAGTGGGTGGCATTTTAGTTAATTTTAAAATAAACACAATTATATATATAATATTATATTTGAAATTTTAAAACAAATAAATAAATCTAAACTTGATTTATTTATTTATTAGTATTATTATTATTTTAATTTATGGTCATTGTCGTTATTATACTATTATCATTATTATTATTATAAAAAACAACGTAAATTTAAATTATGACGTCATCAATATCATTATTATTTTAAATTTAAAAAAGAAAAGAATATTAAATTAAGCCATGATTTTAAATCTTGTTTCTATCTATCTGAGAAATTTCTGTTGTATTGAGAATATATTATTGTGAGTACTTAAATTACAGATTTGTGATGCACTTTTCAAAATTTCAACATTTGTACGGGTTTGTCCCTGAGTCGTGAAAAGAATTGAGTTTTCTCTTGGACTTGTAAAAAGAGCGACATTACAGTTTTGTTCTAATTCGTAGAAAGAGTCGAGAAAGTTTTTATTCAAATTCACAAGAAGGGCTTGGGGTGGGATAGGTCGAATTTGACTGAACACCGTAAAATTGCTGTGTTATTTTCTTTAACTCTATCTTATTTAATTTTAAAATTATTATCGTGATTTTTTTTTTATAATTGTTGGATTGGTACGACAACTCAAGGGTAATAGATTTTTTTTAAAAAAAAAAATTAATTTAAATTTTATAAATTTTATAATATTTCATTTAACCCCACAATTTTAGACTATTTACCAAAAAAAACTCAAGAAAATTATCATCAAACACCTCAAATTTTCCTTTTATTACCTCAACGGATACATAAACATATAAATTTCAACCAATAATTGCATCATTCCCCAAACCCTAAACACCAAATTTAAATTCATTCACTCCTTACAACAAAACATTTCCTCAAGCCACCTTCTAGGGTTTTTCAGTGGTGTCTAGGGGTTAGGGTTTAAGGTTTAGGGTTTAGGGTTTATAGGGTTTTTCATTAGCGCTTTCGCAGTGACCCCACAAGCCAAAGCCTTCTTCGGAATCCTACCGACCTTTTCGACTCCTTCGGCGAACACGACCCCCATCCCCATATGCAAATGAGGTTCAATATGGCAATGGAACGCCCAAACGCCGGGATTGTCTGCCACAAATCGGATCGCCGTCCACCCGTTTGGGAAAATCACCACCGTGTTCCTCAGCGGGGGGTTTTTTAGATTCAATTTCCGGCCATGCACGGCGGTGGAGAATTTTCCATCTCCATACCCCAAAACCCAAAAATCATGCCCATGCAAATGCCAAGGATGAATTTCACTCGTATTAGGGTTTAACATGTTGGCGTTTTGTAGTATCACATCCACCGTCTCACCCAATTTGAACCGATAAACGCCGTTTCCGATCGTCGTGTTTGGGTTCGGTGGTGGGATGTCAATGCTGTAGTTCGATGGGAAATTTTCCGGTGGGGGATTCTGGTTGAAGGCAGTCTTTAGCCGATATTTCATGGCGCCGAGGTACGGCGTCGGCGGGAGAGCTAAAGAGACGTTGTTGATAGCCCACTTTGTGAAGCCGTTCAATCGATTCTGGGTGTTGAGGAGGAAGATACGCCGGTCGAATCTCGTCGGCGGTTTCGGACTACTCATGGTGGAGAAGATTCTGAAGGTGAAGTTTTTGCTTCGATCGAAATCCTCCCAGTCGGGGGTTTCCGGCGGTGGAAGGATTGGTAATTTGGCGGGGGAATTGGGGAGGTAGTTGAGGAGGGTCAGTCCCGGTGGCGTATTGGGACGCCGTGCACGAACGCCGATGGAGACCCAATAATTCTCCGATGGGTTTTGGTCGGTGGTGATGAGGACGGAGTAAGACTCGCCAGAATAAATATCGATGTCGGAGGTTCGAAATGGCTGAACGTAGTTGCCATCCGCTTCTACCACTAATAGTTGGTGATTCTGAAGAAGAATAAAAATGATAAACCATTAAATCATTATAGGTTCCGTGAAGAGTACATATCAATTATAGTTGACCAATCTATGTTCCATTTTTTAAAGTTTTTGTAAAATTAATTTTTTTAAAAGAAATTTAAGGTATTATTGAAAATTTTAAATATTAATTTTTATTTAAGACAAATAATCCCGTTTAAATATATTTTTATTAATCTAACTATTTACAAAGTTTAAAATTTTGAGAAAAAAAAAAAAAACACAATAATTTTGAAATAATTTAAATAAAATATTTTAATTATTTGTTTTATCTTATATAATTAAATTGCATATATCAACGGCTCAATGACATTATAATATTTCTATCTTTATTTTTATGGAAAATATTATTTAATATATTATTAGAATTTAAAAAAATCAAATTTATATTCTAAAATTAATAAAAGATTTTAGATAATTTAATAAATAATAAATGTTAAGAGATAAGACAACAGACACGTGGACTCCTCACATTATGTGTCAGAAGGGGGAATATGTGCTGCCCCTTTAAAAGAATATTACCATTTTTATTAATATTTTAAAATATTTCACGTGCAAAATTACTAATTTAGGTTTTTCCTTTTTTAATAAATTTTCGATTTTTTTTATTTGTACCAATTAAAAAATATATTTAATAAGTTCGTAAATTTTTAATTTTGTATCAAATACATATTTTTAAAAAAAATTTCAACGTAAAGATTATATTTTAAAATTTAAAAACTTATTTTACAGATAAAATAGATAGTTTATATAAAGGGTGTACATTCAACACAACAACCCAGACCAACCCATCTCGAACTATAAGGGTTGGATTGGATTAGCATTTCGAGTAGGGTTGGGTTCATTTTTCTGAACCCGAACTTTCGGGTTGACCCGAACTAAAAGGTATAATTATAAAAAAGTAATTATTATAATTCTAAATTCAAACCCTAATATTATTATAGTCAATTCTGGTAGGAGGGTAAAATCGTCAACTTTCTAAAAAGTAGTGCTCATAACGACCCCTACTTCTTTTCAACTTTATGGGTCAAACACAAATTAATGAAATTTAAGGTTTAAAAAAATTTACAAATTGGGAATTTTAATATTAAACCAATTAATTTTTTTTTTAATTTTTTTTAACCTATCAGTAAATTTTAAAAGTCAATTAGGGTTCTGTGTTAGAGTAATAGAGAGAGAGTTACCCCGATAGCAAAATTAAGGGACGCCAATGCAGTGGTACTGGAAATTCTTATCCTGACCGTCTTATTGGGATGAACGTGCATGATAAACGGCGCGCATTGCTCGCCCCCTTTTAACGCGCATGGCTTGGATCCACTATGGTATTTAGCTGCAATCGAACAATTGAACTGTCCTCTCCCATTTATGAGTATAGTCTTCAACCACAAACCAACGACAAAAACCACCGTCATATCATTTATCAAACCCAAATCACAAATTTATATATATATATATATATATATATAATATTAATCTTGTCGGGTAGCAATGTTCAAGTTTATGTTCCATTCCAAGTCACAACTATACTGTTTAATGTCTCAATTTTCGTCTAAATCTTAGTAGACGATCAAGGGTAATATTGTAATTTTGAAAAAATATCGAGTATTATTTTAATAAAAGATAAAAGTTCAGAGTTTTTTTTTATAATAAATTTAATCTAAAAGTAAAAAGTGGAGTACAACTCAATGTTGCTAATGTTGTTCTTGTATCTATATATACACACATATACATACATACATATAATATCAACTTTAAAAAAAAATAAAGCTTACAGATTCTCTGTATGTATAATAAAATAACCATAGTTCAAGCAAGGAATTTAGAAGAAGAATATTTTCTTTTTCAATAATTTTTCTTTTCTTGGAAATTACAGCTTAAATTATATATATGTTTCAAAATATATATATATATATATATATATATATATCGTATTCTTAATTTAATTATATATTTAATATTTAAACATTTGATCTCTTAACTAATGATATAAATCTGTTGAGTTATTCTCAAATTGGTCTCTTAAATTATAAAATTAGCTCATAAATTTTCGTACTCGTGTTTAATAATTTTTAAATTTTTAATTTAATGTCTAATATATCGTCCAAAAATTTAATTGTGTGTCTCATACATTTTTGTTTTATTAGAAAATTAAATTAAATTAAATTTATATTTTTTTTAATTCATTTATCTATTTATTAACAAACAAGTATATAAAGCAATCATATTTTAACTTTTCACGAAAAAAGTAAAAAAATAAAATAAATAATAATAATAATAATAATGGGAAGAGAGAGAAAAAGAATAATTTGTGGACAATTTTTGTTTGAAATAAAAAAAATCTAACAAAACCTTTTCTGATTGGTAAAGAAAGAAAAGAACTTGAAAAATTGTGGATGATTATTAAAATATTAATTTTCAACTTTCTAATATTTAAAAAGGTTAAATTTTTTAATATCGTCGATTACCTGAGGCTCACCGATCCAACGCATTGGATTGGAGCTGAGACCAACTTCTTGCTTATGAACGCTTTGATGCCACCAATCACTAAGCAATAAGTTGATCTCTTCATCGTAATGAAACGGCTCGTTCTTTCCTTCTTCAGGATCCACTATCAACGATCCATACAACCCTGCCGATCTCTGCATACCCAAATGACCATGATAGAAAAACGTCCCAGCCTGTAGAAAAAAAACCCAACAAATAAACAAACAAACTTTTTTTACCCAACATAATTCCACGTAATTTCTCGACATCAAAATCTAAAACCCTTCTCACCTTATCCACCACGAACCGGTACGTGAAGGTTTCACCAGGGTTAATAGCACACTGGGAGATCGAAGCAGTACCATCAGCCCAGGGAGATCCACGCTGGAGTATTCCATGCCAATGAATAACAACACCTTCAGTATGGAGCTTGTTAGTCAACTCCACAACAACAGTGTCACCAACATTGGCTCTAATCGTCGGGCCAGGAAACTGACCGTTGATACCCATGACGATGTTCTCGACGCAGTCGGGAGACCAGAACATGTACTCGACTTCCCATTTGTAGTGCTTGATTTTGGGAAGAGCAATGGAGGGAGTGATTGCAATGGAGAAAAGGAAGAGGATGAGGAGAAATGGATGGCCTGCAACTCTCCCCATCTCTGGTTGGTAAGTGGAGCTGTGGGAGATGCCATTAGTGTTAGCAATTGCCTCCCTTTTTATAATGAAATAGAACAAGTGGGTAATTTTATTATTTATTTATTTATTTATTTATTATTATTATTATTTGTTTGATTTTTCTTTAAAAAAAAAAAAATATTCTAACTTACAACATTGTCACACGCATCTGTATAATATAAGATCTAGAATGTTTTATCTAATTAAATTATAAAAATGCTATTTTTATTGGGTCTCGATAATCGAATTACGCTCTTTTTTAGAATAAATTATAAAAATGTTTTAAAACGCGTCTACTAGGAGAGATTTCTATACCCTTATGAAGAATGATTCGTTCCTCTTTCTCCAATCGATGTGGTATCTTACAATCCACCCCCTTCGAGACCAACGTCGTATGCATAAGATAGTTGTATTTAAATTTTTAGACCTTGAGTTAGTGGGTGTTGTCAGTTTTAATATTTAATTTATTTTTATTTAATATTTTGTTTATATTGCTTTTAAAGACGGTTTGAAACATGTCTATGACATTATTTTACGAGATGTTTTAAATGTTTGGATTAACAGAAATCTAGGTTGTTATGGTTTTGTAGGATTTGTATATGATACTTTAAATTTCTTTAATTTATATAAATTTTTATGAATTAATATTTAATATTAGACGTTAATTCAACATTAATGTTTTTTTTATAATAAATGACTTGATTGTTAAATTAGAAAATTTAGGGAATAATATTTATTTGTATATATTTATTTGTGTTTTGAAATATATAAATTGGTAATTATTTAAGAAATTACAAATAAATAAATAAAATAATTCATTTGACTTATTAAATACAAAAGTTTTATTTCAAATTTCAATTAAAAATAAATTGATATTATTTCAATTTCTCTAAAGTTTATTTTATATTAAATCTAAAATATAAATATACGTAAATATAAATAAATAAAAATGTGAAATAAAAAAAAAAAATTCTTCGTGATGCATCTAAAATTGGTTATATTTTTGTCACACGAACTTGTTAAAATATGTAAGCATGTTTTCGAAATATTTCTTAGATTTTTACAAAATAAACGAGGTAATTCGATGTTCATGACAATCTTGGACCCCCACCAAACAAACATCTCGTTCGTGTTTTATTATATTATTATTATATTAATTAATATTGGTTAGTTAAATTGACTTTTTTGTTATATTTAAATATTATTTATCAATATATTAATATGAACACACAAATAAATCAACGAAAATAAAGTGAATAAATGAAAATGTAACAAAAAGTCAATAACTTTTCCATTGTAGGCGTCGGTGGACTAGGTTGGGTTCGATTAAGAAATTTTTTAAACCTAACTCAATTGTTCGTGTTTTAAATTGTTTTCAATCGAAACAACTCTTCTTAAATAATGAATCTGTTCGAACATTATTGGAAGTGAGTCCCTGGTTAATTTAGTGGAAGATCATAGATTTATAAGTGAGGAATATTATCTCAATTGTGGGGAAGCTCGGAGCAAAATTATGAGACTTTAGGCTCAAAGTGAACAATATCATACCATTGTGGAGAATCGTGATTCCTACTAGAACCCAACCATAAATTTTTTGAGCTAAGTTGGTTCGAGTCGTTTATTGAAATTTTTGTTTTTTTTAATAAAAGTAAAATAATTTTCAATTAATATATAAAAAAAAAAAAAGGAAATGATTAAAACGCGTTTTGATTTTCTTTTTAATTTTATTAAATATTTAAAAACTATAAAAGTAGGCGACTACGATATAAAATTTATACTCGCGGTCACGTGCGAAAAGGCAAAATATCTCTACTTTGAACATGGGCGGCAATCCCGTGTATGGCGACACACATAAATATATATATTTTTCCGAAATAATAATAAAAAGACAAATATATAAATAAATAAATAATAATTATTATTATTATTATTAGCAGCCTTACATAATTAAACATCACATTAATCATATTAAAACTAGGGCCTATATAGTTTTCAAAATAAATTAATGAATAAAATTAAACCGTCCAATTTAATTTAATGGTCGGATGATATAAATTTTAGCCTAAGTTTGAATAAATCAATTTGCACGTGTTTAATTAAACCTCATAAATTATTTTTAAATTATTATTATTTATTATGATTTTTTTTCGTTTGCTTCTAGTTTTAGTATACTCAACCAATATAATTAATTAAATAAAAAATATCGACTCATATCTAATAAATAAAGATTTTATCGTATGTTTATCGTTATGGTAATGATTGGAGACTCTATTTAATAATTATTTTAATTTTAAATTTTTTATTTAAGTTTATAAACGTCGTACGTGGGGTTATTATATATTTTTAAAGAATATATGTCAATTTTGGAAACTATAAAAATAATTTAAATTTGATTTTGTTTTTTAAATTTGGCGTTTTTAAGTTATATGAAATAAAAAGTTGGAAATGAATATGATTAAACTCAATTTTATTTTTTTATTTTCTATTTTTTTAAATTAAGTATATAAATACTATTTTTTTTCTTATAATTTTGTATTTGAAATTAAATTTATAAACATTATTTTTCTTATAATTTTCTTGGTTTATTATTATTATAAATTTTAAAAACTAAAAAAAAATTATTTATTTAGCTAATATAATTGATTGTTGACTCGAGAGGTTTAACCAAATCATATAGGTATCGAGTCTAAACTTCTAAAACTATAAAAGCTTAATTAAGATTAAGGTCGTACTTAAAAATTAAATTAAACTTTTAAAACCCTAATAATCGGAGTAATTTAATCATTTTTTCTCTTAATATTATAATTCACGTGATGAGTGCCAGCGAAGAAATTGGGCTCCGAACGGGGTGAATTGTGAGATCTTACATTGGTTGAAGAGGAGAACGAAACATTCTTCATAAAGGTGTGAGAACTTGTCCCTAATAGATGTGTTTTAAAAATCTTAAGGGGAAGCACAAGAATGAAAACTCAAAAAAGACAATATCTACACATTATTCTCCGCTAACATTGTCTAAATGAGACATGAGGCAGGAACCAGAATTTAAACTTGATTTTTTTTTTATTAATTATATACGTGAATTTTGATAAATAATTTTAAATAGGTTAATGATTTATATACAAAATTAAAAAATTCAACGACCCAATAAATTCAAAATTAAAATTTTAATATGTAGCAGTTTTTTTTTTAAATTAAGACATCAAATAAACATAAATAAGATTATAAATTCGTTAGACAATAATAAAAAAATAAAAAAAAAAGTTTATAAATTATATCTCCCTAATATATATATATACAATTATTTGATTTTTTAAAATTAATTTTTAAAAATTAAATTTCTAAATTAAAATAACAATAAGTACACAATTTAATCCAACTTAATGACATTCATTAGTACTCTTTTTGGCACTAAATCACCCATTATGAACTAAACAATAATGTTGATAATTAATTAATCAATTGTTAAATGTAAATATTTCATTAATTATTTATTTAATTATAGAGTACTCGGTATTGATGATCCTGAGTTGACTTTAATGAATTATAGTTACAATTGGACCTCATCGATAACGAATGCATCAATTACTGAATTTATCGATTTTGTTATTAGATCTCACTTAATCTCCATGATTCTCGATCATAATAAGGAGGGCAGCTCCTCACACTGATCTCGGTAGAAAATACAACTAAAGCTTCATAAACTATCGTATATAATCTTTAAATAAATCTTTTCATCTCATTTAAACTTTCACACAATTTTTTTAAAATTCTTCACGTGTATTATTGGTTTATTCTTTTGTCGCCACTCTAAGTTTCCTTTAAATGCTTCATTCGAAAAGAAGAAAGTGTAAAAAGACTTTTTTCTCCTTGAAAAATTTTGAACAAGTTAGGAGAGAAAGAGCCGTCGTAGGGACTTTTTTGGAAATATTTAGTTTCACTTTAAATTTTTAATCGATTCTTCTATCTTGTATTAGTTAAAGTTAAAGTTCTTCATTTTGTTTAGATTGTCCGGAAGATGTATTGTCACGACTCTCATTTATTTTGGTTATTAACTCTCGTTTAGTTCATAACCCTTTTTGTGTCGGTATAAAAGTTTGTCTAGCATTATTTTGAGGTGTGAAGTTATTGTCATTTTGTATTTGTCTGGAGACAATTGAAAGAAAATTTTGTTGAGAGATTTTGTACTGTGAGGGTGTGAGAGATACAGTTGTAAACACTTTGGTTATAGTGATGAGATACTACATGTAGATATAGGGGAATTTCTTCTCTTCGAACCGTGTAAGTCTTTGGTTCTCTTCATTTATTTCTGTTTGTGGGTGTAAGTACGATCGACCGTACTTCCGCTTCCGTTATAACAATTGGGTATCATAATATTTTAGTTGTGGCATTATGCTACAACAATTGGGTATAATAAAGCATGACAGATGTCCCAGTCTTGCTTGTCCGAGTCGGTTGACAGGGACGTCAACCAATTGAGTGAGGGAGGATATCATGGTCATGCATGTCCAAGGCATGTTGTCAATGACCGTATGACAGACAACACGTCCTGGACAAGCAAGATCGGGATATCTATCATGTGGTCATTGACAACACGCCTTGGACATGCATGACTGTGACATCCCCTGTCAACCGACTCGGACAAGCAAGACTGGGATATCTGTTGTGCTTTAGGCAAGCATGACCGTGACATCATTTTGGTTGTGACATTCTGCTACAACAATTGGGTATTAGAACATTGAAAGATGTGACATTTCAACATAACAGGTGATATCATAGCACTTTTTTAGTTGTGGCATCTATGAGACGACAAGTGGTATCATAGTTTCGAAGATTGTGGCGTTAGGACACAACATATACTTCTTCCCTTTATTATTCTCTAATACTTTCATAAAAGCAATATAAGAAAAGTGACGTAAAGGCAAAGCCTATAGGACCATTAAAGTTGCATCTTTATTTATCGAAATTTAAATTCGTTGCTTACTCTCCTAAATATTTAAAAAGAGACGGAATAGGCATTAAATTCGGATGGTAGTGTTAAATGTCGATAAGGGTAGGTTCGTTCGAGTAGTCAATGGACAACCCTAAAATTTTATGTGAGATCCCACATCGATTGGAGAGAGAAACGAGTCCCAGCGAGGACGCTGGCCCCAAAGGGATGTGGATTGTGAGATCCCACATTATTTGGAGAGGGAAACGGAACATTTTTATGAAGGTGTTGAAATGTCTTTGTATCATATGCGTTTTAAAAACCTTGAGGGGAATCCCAAAAAGGAAAGACCAAAGAGGACAATATTTGCTAGGGGTAGGCTTGGGCTGATACAAATGGTATCAGAGTCAGATATCGGGCTGTGTGCAGTGAAGACACTGTGCCCTGAAGGGGAGTGAACATCGGAGGTGTGCCAACGAGGACGCTGGGGCTCGAAAGAGGGTGGATTGTGAGATTCCACGTCGGTTAGAGAGGAGAACAAAATATTCCTTGTAAATGTGTCGAAACCTCTTTGTAGCATACACAACCCAAAGAGGACAATATTTGCTAGCGGTGGACTTGAGTTGATACAAATGGTATCAAAGTTAGATATCGGGCTGTGTGCAGCAAGGGCACTGAGCCCCGAAGGGGAGAGAATACCGGGCGGTGTGCCAACGAGGACGCTGAGCCTTGAAAAAGGGTGGATTGTGAGATCCCACGTCGGTTAGAGAGGAGAACAAAATATTCCATGTAAATGTGTGGAAACCTCTTTGTAGCATACGCAACCCAAAGATGATAATATTTATTAGTGGTGGGCTTGAGCTGATACAAATGGTATCAGAGTCAGATATCGGGCTGTGTGTAGTGAGGACACCGAGCCCCGAAGGGGAGTGAACACAGGACAGTGTGCCAACGAGGACGCTGAGTCTCGAAAGGGGGTGGACTGTGAGATCCCACGTCAGTTAGAGAGAAGAACAAAATATACCTTGTAAATGTGTGGAAACCTCTTTGTAGCTGACTCATTTTTAAAACATTGAGGGAAAACTTGAAAGGTAAATCTCAAAGAGGATAACATCGGCTAGCGGTGAGATTGGGCCATTACATTTTAGGTTGGTCCAAAAAAGTTACCTAATTAAGTTTCACTGTGGTAAGTTTAGATTTAACCTATTAGAAATTAAGTTAAATTACGATTAAATTGACCTTTAATAAATTGATATATAAAATGGAAAGTTTGGGGGCATTTTTGTCAATTTAACCTTTAATATATATATATAAATTTCTGTTTTGAAATGGGCCCTAAACCCGGCACCCATTACCCGCTTCATTCTCTGGAAAGGCCGTCCATGTTGTCCACCGGAGCTCAGGTTACATGAACGGCGGAGCTTCGTAATCAATGGCGATCAACAAGCTTGCTGCAAATTTGGACTATGAACGCATCGTTATTGCTTCCGCTATAGCCTCACGTATTCTTCTACTCTTCTTAATCGTCTTCTGGCGCTCTCTCGTCAGCCCTTACGACACTTCAGCATCTCTTAATCCTGCGTGCTTAATCGACTCGTCTTCTTCGCCTCTTGCCGGACAACCAGTTCTTTTTCCTCGAATTGGATCCGCTATTGAGAGCAGCATTGTTTGGGATGGCGTTCACTTCGTTCGAATCGCTGAGTGCGGTTATGAATATGAGAAGTCCTACGCTTTCTTGCCTCTTCTTCCTATATGCATTTCCTTCCTGTCTCGCACAGGTTTGCTAATTTTTCTCGATCCGTTGTTTTCTTCACTGGATTGGTGGATTTGCTGGTGTTTGTTGTAACTCCGTTGTCTATTTGGTTATTTTGTTGATTTTCTTTGTTGTGCTGTAGAATGATAGATTCTTACAGTTTGCTTGGAGTAGTTTATGAGCAACAGCTGATGTGCTTCGAGCGTTATTTGATTTTTTGTTTTTTGTGGTTAATGCGGTGCTAATTTTGCTACAGTATTGTTGCCTTTGGTTCCGGTAATTGGGCATAGAGCTGTGTTGGGACTATCTGGATATCTAATCAATAACATTGCTTTTGTGCTTGCTGCTCGTTATCTTTTCAGGTGGGTTTGTTGAGATTACAAGTCTTAACCAGTAATACGTAGGTTAATACTCTGATTTTTCAAATGGATGTTTACTCAGTGACTTATGGGGTAAATAGCTATTCATCTGCATTTGTACTTTCTTGCTCTGTTCTATGTAAAAACACTGACGTCTTCTAACTGGTCGCTTTAACAGGCTTTCACATATTATTTTGAAGGATGGGGAAGCAGCAATGCGGGCTTCAATTCTATTTTGCTTCAATCCTGCTTCTATATTTTATTCATCGTTGTAAGTGATTTTTTCTTTCCCATATCACGTGGTTAAAAAATTTAGATGATTATGTCTATACTTGCAATTGCAGATATACTGAGAGTTTATACTCGCTATTTTCATTGGGAGGATTATATCACTTGATGAGTGGCAGAAATTGTGTTTCTGCTCTTTGGCTCGCTCTTTCTAGCTGTGCTAGGTCTAATGGAGTGCTGAATGCTGGTTATATCTGTTTTCTGACCATGCATTGGACTTATGATGCTCTTTTGTTGAAGAAATGTTTCCGTGTAAGTATCCCTTGCAGGCTTGCTTATTGGTAGATAATAGATTTTATAGTCTCTCTCTTGGTAAGTCATCTTGGCACAGGAGACATAATGCATTTCTTTAACTCTTTCTGTCTTCAATTTATTGGCAAATTCTTTCTTCAGTTATCCTTCCGCGATTTAGATGTCTTTGTGCTTTTATTCAAGAGAGAATCGACTTGTGGACTATAGTGTTGCTTTTAGTGCCCTAAGTAATTATTCTCTTGGATATTGGCAGAAATTTGAGTACTTTTATGTAAGCTCTTAGGCAATTTTGAGGAGACGTCATCGACTCTTTTTCAACCCTCCAATTTCTGATGGAGCAGGTCCTTCCCTCCTTTTTGCTAGGCAGATTTCTTTGGCAAGATGGGCTCTTGGCTATTTTATGCTATATTTTGTCAGAGAGAAATAGAAGAGTTTTGATTGATATAGAGAGGTCTTAGGTAGAGGTTGAGAGTTTGGCCCATTTCAATACCTCTTTGTGGCATATTGCGAGTACTATTTAAGTAATTTTCTTTGTTCTTGATTATGTTAACAACTGGAGACCCCTTCTATAAGCATATGGAAGTCTTTCTGTTTTTGTTTTTCGTATGGTCCAATTTCTTTTGTTCTTAGATCCTTCTTAATCAAAGTGGTTTCCTTATCAGAAAAGGTTTTTTTAGATAATCAAAATGTTATATTTATCGGAATAAGAGTACCAGAGACAATGAGAGGATAAAGACTTCATCTTAGGCAAGAAACGTAAGAACATAATCCTCTATTGTTTAACAATGATAAACAAAAGGAAGATGATAATGTCATGTTCTAACTTCTGTCCATGCTCAGCAATATAGCATTCTTAATAGTTTCTTATTTTCTTCCAGCGAGCATTGCAGGTTCTTATTACTGGAGCCTTAAACTGTGTCTGTATATTTGCTCCATTCGTTGTGTTTCAAGCATATGGGTATTACAATATTTGCAGTGGACGTTTACCAGATGAAATGAGGCCATGGTGTAAAGCTAGGGTGCCGCTGCTATACAATTTTGTTCAAAGTCATTACTGGTATTGTCTTTTTAACTTGCCCTTAATGCCAACTTTATATCAGTATTTTGTAGCTTTAATGAGACCCGTAGACATTGAAGTGCCTAATTTATTTAGTGCCTCCTCTGATAGACCATAGGTAAGAGACTGTATGTTCTTTCTAAACTGAGTTTGGATTTCAGTATGAATGGCATAGAAGTGAGTAAGTAACTCAATGATTTTCATTAAATATAACCACGTTAGACGAGAATGATCGTCAACAAAATTAACAAAGTATCAAAATCTAGTTTTGGACTATTGGACAAGGACCCCAATCGTAGTAATTTGTACCATTTAACCTATCTTTTGTGAGCTTCGATGTGAGAGTAACAACATTAGATAGATTTCATCCCATTCATTAACAATTCTTAAACAGAGGTAGTTTTACTTTGCTGGATGCCCTTGTTTTAGTTTGCCTCCTTTTGTGGGCTTTATTTTTGTATGCCCTCATATTCTTTCATTGTCTCTCAATGAAAGCTAGGTTCTTTTTGATGTAAGGAACTAGTAGTTTTCTGAGATGCAGGGGCACGAAAAAATATGGTGAAATTAATTGATATATGATTGGGAAATAATATTTGGTTTTCAGTATTCTTTACAAACTATTGTGAGAAGACAATATTGTAGAAATATTTACTTTGTTTCAGAACTTCAATATGGACTTTTTGATAGAAATTGCATTATTTGTATTCTATTTGACATTGCTGTATGTTATTTTGAACATCTTACATTCATCTTTTGGGATGGCAGGGGAGTTGGTTTCTTAAAATATTTCCGATTCGAACAGCTACCGAACTTTCTACTTGCATCCCCAATTTTGTCTTTAGCATTTTTCTCAATTGTTCACTATGGAAAGTCAAGGCCAAAGCTTTTTCTCTCGGTGGGCTTCCAAGCAACTGCTGAGGATAGAAATTCTGCGGCCATGCTTTACTTTCCAGAACGTGTTCCAAGGTCGAGCATGCCTCGTCATACGGTGGCATCTTCCTCTGGGTTACAAGGTATTGCTTATTACGTAATGGCAATGCTACAATTTTTTGTATTGTTCTAGCAGGTAGAAGTTTTGAATTGGAGTAATTTTTCTCGACTTTTCCTATCATTCTGTGTTTTGTTGCTATCTTTTATGCACCTTAAGCTATTATTTCGTAGGAAATCAGAATCTTAGACGAAAAAAGCAGATTATTGGACAGGATCCTGCCAAGCTTCCAGTAGAGGATAAAACATTCAATGGGTCAGGATACTCTTCTGCTTTTGTAATTCCATTTATCCTACATATGGGATTTATGGCTGCCACAGCAATTTTCGTCATGCATGTGCAGGTTTGGCTCCTCTCCAGAATATGCACTTTTTTTCAAAATATATAAACATAGTGCGTGCTGAAGAATCTCATTTGCTTGCTTTTTGTTATTTCATGTACAAATTCTCATTATTTTATTTGTCTGCATAGCATTATCGCTTGTATTATAAATCTAGTTTCTCTTTATATATATATATATATAGCAGATTTTGAAACAGCTGCCAAATGATTTTGAATTAGGAACCCTTTGTCCTATGAAGCATTTTTCTAAATTTATCTTTCGTTCTTACAAAGTTACAACGTTTCTCAAGGTCATATATGCTAAACGACTGTAACTCATGTTTTATTAATATTGCGTACTTGATTCGACTTTATATTGTTAAGAATAGACTGTTTTTACATCATTTTTCTACTCTAGACTTCTTCGGTACATTAGAAGTCTCTTCTATAAGGAACAGAAGCATTTTAGGAATCAAATTTGGTACAGGTGTTGATGTTAAAATTTTGCATCTCGTTTCAAGCCTTGCCTTTTAAAATAGTGTACGGTATAAAATCAATTAATACAAACCAGAATGTGAAATATGTACGGTATAAAATCAATTAATTCAAGCCTTGCCTTTTGCATCTTGTCTTTTTAAACCAAGTATCTCACAGTTTGGAACTTGACAGGTTGCAACACGATTTCTCTCTGCAAGCCCTCCTCTGTATTGGTTTGCCTCATACGTTATGGTTAACCCTGGTCGCTTTAAGAGATGGGGATATATTATCTGGGCATACTCTGTTGCTTATATCCTCCTTGGCAGTCTTCTCTTTTCGAATTTCTACCCTTTCACATGATTAGTTCTTGCAGCAAAGACACTTCAGCCATGGTACGGGAGCGTTCGGAGCTTTGTAAACCCAATCGATAATTTTGGACTAAAAAAAATGGTTAGAACTAGAGCCTTAGAGTGTACACTACACGGTGCGATTTTGAGACACTAATGAAAGAAATCGGGTTTTGAAGCAATTCCAGTTAGCTTTTGCTATGGTTGTATTTCACTATAATTCATGCAGTGATGACCTCAGTGTGCATAACCCGATGGTGAACTACTGGATAAAGTAGTTCTATATCTTATGGGGTTGAGACTGAATTGTTGGGTGAGTTTATCAGCTTCAAGGAAGAGGTCTTGATTGCTTGCTTGAATTAACAGTCGTTCGATTGTTAATATCTCTGAACTTGTAATCAGGGTACAGATTTTTATCATTGATGTTGTAGTGCGAAGATTTTGAATGATTATTTAGGGGATTCTTTGAGGAAAAGTTATTTAACTGGTTGATACAATGCATTATGTACCTATTTTTTGACCTTGCTTGTAATTATTTACTTGCAAAGATAATGACCGAGTTGAACAATTTCTTGTGTTCATGATAGCTTTTGGGTAGTGTCTCCATATAGAAAGCTTTCCTAATTATTCAAATGCTAAGTTAATATGATTGTAAGTTTTATTTATATAATATCTACATTTGCATTATATTAACTTTCTGATTCTGATTTCCTTTTGCAGACTCTATTTGATATTTTGTATCAGTAAAAGAATACAAGGTCTAGGTAAGCAATTTTGAATATTGTTTTACTTTCTAGCATTGTGTTCCCAGAAGTTTAAGCAACTGCTAGACTGCTAGAAACTTTGTTAGAAATCGTTTCAAGAGCTTTCGTTAGAAGATTCGAACTTCCACCCTCAAGGAAATGAGTAGATATCAATTACTGACCAGATATAATATCTTTTATAGCCATGAATTTAGTCAAAAGGCAATCCCATTATATAATCTCTATGAAATGTTCCACACCGAGACATCTCTGTCGAGATTCGATATCAATTAGTTTGAACTTTCAACACTGTACAGGGAAGTTGAGATACAAAATACAAAGAGAGTAAGAAATATCTCAAACAGAGGGCCCAGATCTAAGCACTCTCTCTAGTTTCTCAGCCTTAGTGTAATCATTTTCATTGAGTGGCCCAGCAGGAAATGGAGTTATTTCCACAATAAGATGTGGGGTTGGAAGCTCATCAAACAGAGCTCTCACATTGTTGCAGCAAACACTCTCCCCATGAGCACTTTCCCTCCTTATTTGACAACCCTACAAATGACAAACCACTGTTTAGAACAACATAACAACATCCTCTACATCGTGACAACTTTAAGATTCGTGAAGTCGAACGAAGAATAAACAGTTTGCGTGTATAAAGAGTGAAGGAATGAATTCTAGGATTGTGATTTGATTTAGAACCTTGTGAGAAGTGGCATCAATGAAGTGATCATCATCGGAAAGGAGGGATGCAATGGCTTTAAGAAGGCGTCGTCCTTCGGATTTAGACGGTACCCGATAGTTCCTTCGGAGGGTACCTTTTGTAGTAGGATGCCATTTGCTCACTAGTTTCCTTTTATCAACTGCTTCATCCACTGTCAATGAAAACAAGAAAGAAAACACCAACATGGTCTTAAATCTGTCTGAAGATCAAGAACAAACAAACTCCTTAGACCACAGCTTTTGTTTCAGAATACAAAACTCTAATCTAGCTAATGTTATTCAGTTCAACAGAGTTTCCATAAGGTGCAAAGAACAGAATCCATGAATAACAGCAAATTAGCAGCCTAATACCACTTTCTCAGCCATATGATATCCAATGGTTTAAACAAAGCCTTCTTATTATATGACCCTTTGGTTTATAACAAGAGAATCCAGGAGCAAACCATTCAAGATAAAAAGTCCTTTAGTTTACAGCCAATGGAAACTCTACACAAGAGATCCCATCAGATAGAGTTGCAAACATAGCTTCCAGCCCAGCATTCAAGATGCAAGAGACGAATGGCTCGTCTTAAGAGAACCCCAAAGTATCACTTCCAGTAATGTTTTTGTGAGATCCCACATCAGTTGGGGAGGAGAATGAAACATTCTTTATAAGGGTGTGGAAACCTCTCCCTATCAGACGTGTTTTAAAAACCTTGAGAGGAAGCCCTCTCGAAAGGAAAAGCCCAAAGAGAACAATATATGCTAGCGGTGGGCTTGTGCTGTTACAGTTTTACATATACTACTTATACATATACTACTTAGCTTCTAAAATGTTTCCATTTAACCTTCTGTACCCTATCAAACAAGAGAAGCCATTTGATTTAGCTGCCTGCCACTTTTCTACCAGTTCAATGTCAAGTAGATATCTAATGATCATCGGAGTCTCAGCCATATAAGTTGTAGAACAATGGCAATGTTGATCAATGTTCTTCAGTTGATGATATTTACAGGACAGGTTTTGCTCAGTTTGGAATGTTCATCAAATTTCTAAATCAACTCAAACAGGCAGAGATGATAAAATCCTACTGCATTACCCACAAATCTAGCAAGTTAAGAGTACTACAAACCTGGCTTTCCTCTTACACTCTCCAACCACTTAGAAAACCCCAAATCACTGCTGCTTTCCCCATCAGCACTACCACCATCGGATAACTCCAAATCTGGAAAGGGGAAAAAAAAAACAAACACGAACAAAATTTCCCAATAAAAACCAGAACCCAGAATCAGAGAAGGTGAAAATAACCAGAAAAAAACATGAAACCCAGAGAAAGAAGACGAACCAGAGACAAGAGGGTTAGATTGAGATCCAGCTAAACCAGCTTTTAGAAGGGCATAGAAGATGCAAAGTCTACCAGCCCACAAAATAGGAGCCTCGATGAGAGAAGCGCGAGCGGTGGTGGCCGAGTTGAAGGTGTTGGATCTTCTTTTGTGGAAATAGAGGAGGGTTTTGAGGGCTTTCTTTGCTTGGCTTCCAACACCAGAGGAACGGTTTGTGGGGTGAAGATTGATGGAATGGAGATTTTGGAAGTCGAAGGGGAAGGTGATGGATTGGTAAGGCGAAGTGAAAGTGGTGTGAACAAGAGAGAGAAGCATTCTTATTGAGTTGCAGAGACTGAGGAGGAGATGACTCTAATCCACGCAGTGGCTGTGAACTGTGAACAAAAGCCAAAGCGAGACAGACGAAGGGACTGTTGTGCTCTTTACCCCTAAAACGCCGTCGTTTAGCTGCTGACTTTTGTTTTTCTTTGGGTTAATTTTTTTTCCTAATTTTATAAATTTTTAATAGTTTAATCTCTCTCATGATATATCTGCTTTTTTTTTCCTAATTTAAAGATACGTGAGATGTGAGATTCTAGTCGTTAACATCTTGATCGAAGTTATATATTTTATGTCAATTGAGTTATAATTATTGATAAAGACAGTGTCCAGTATCAATTTATGGATTTGCATAAACAAGAAAACCCAACGAAATTGTTACAAAATTTTTAACCATTATGTTCGGACTAAATTAGAAGTTAGGGGTCGTTTAGTCTCAAATCTAATTATTTAACTATAAGGGTGAAAATTCAAATACCTAATTATCTTCTTGAGCCAGAAATGATTTTTTTTGGGATAATTCCATGACATTATTCATTTATTTTATTTTGGGGAAGAAAAATAAAATAAAAGATTTTTGCTAGGTCACATCTAGACAAATTGAACATTTGAAGAATGGTCTGTGGGCCCAAATTGGTCTTTCTATCTTATCCAAATGGAGATTTACTATTTTTTTCCCTCCAAATTTTCTCTTAAGAAATTCATCAATTTCATTATTCATCTACTTTTCACGTTCAGTGAATAGTCAAGACATTGGGCATCGTTCTGTTTGAAGGAAGGAAGGATCCTAAAAAATAAATCTTTCTTTTAGTTGTTGAATCACTTTGATTGAGAAATGTGTGATAATGCAAATCCTCGTTACTAATAAAATCAAAATAATCTCCAAATTGATCCTTTAACAATTTAGTCTACATTCAAACTTTGTAATAATTTAATTCCTATTACAAAAATAAAAAATTTGTGTGAAGATTTAATGAGATGAATGAACATATATTATTAAAATCAAAAAGCCCAATTCATTCCAGACACCTCATTCAAAGATACAACAAGATATGCACTGAATATGATAGTCACTGCCATGGAATTGATTATGATATAAATATGAAGGTTATCTCTTAATTGCACATTTCAACAATACATTAATGAGATAATGTGAATAATCCAATAAGCTAAACACAACAAACAACATACTTTTATATATAGAATTACCTCTTCAAGCAACTTCCTCGGAGGATGCAAAAGACTGTTGTTTCACAATGTTGGGGAACTTTTTGGGTAGACTGAATACAGCCTCATCTGCAGCAAGACCTTGAAACGCCATGCCAAACGAATATCCTAACGCTCGAGCAACCGGGACTGCTACTGCATTTCCTACTTGAATGTACCTGTTACATCACCAGCATTTATGTTTGATGTCTTGGAATAGCTACTTTGATCACTAATCTTCAATACAAAATAGGATATAATATCTTTTGGGGATTCCACTGGCTAGAACAAAAGAATAAATATGTTCAAGGAATACAAAGCAAGAACGTTATTGTAATCCGTACAACCAAATTTCTTAAGGAAGAAACAATCACTTTACTCGAATTGTCACTTTACTCGAAAATTGGTAAAGCGATACATATAAGGTTGCAAACAGTGGTGTGATGTCCCACATTGGTTGGGGAGGAGAACAAACCAGCGTTTATAAGGGTGTGGAAACCTTCCCCTAGTAGACGCGTTTTAAAGCCTTGAGGGGAAGCCCAAAAGGGAAAGCCCAAAGAAGACAACATCTGTTAGCGGTGGATTTGGGTCATTACAGGTGGAATTGAGTCAATTCTTTGCATGCAAATGTGAGAACCTACATTGGTTGGGGAGGAGAACGAAACATTTTTTATAAGGGTATGGAAACTTCTAGCAGACACGTTTTAAAACCTCGAGGGGAAGCCCATAAGAGAAAGTCCAAAGAAGATGATATTTGCCAACGGTGGGCTTCAGCCGTTACAAATAGTATCAGAGCCAGACACTAGACGATGTGACAGCAACGAGGCTAAGCTTTGAATAGGGGTGGACACAAGGTAGGGTGCCAACAAGAACGCTGGGCCCCGAAGGAGGTGGATTGGGGTTCTCACATCGATTGGAGAAGGGAACGAGTGCCAGCAAGAACGCTGGATGTCACGGTCATGCTCGTCCAAGGCGTGTTGCCCATGGCCACATGCCCATGACAAGCCAAACCCTTTATGTCTTTCCATGTTCTAATGTTTTCCTTTTTGTATTTTTAGGGAGTATGATGTTTTGGGAAAATCATGTCTGAGTCTCTCAGACATGAAATGCCTCAGAATGTATTGTAGGGAATATGACTAGTTGTCAACTTCTCCCTACCCAAGGTTATATACTGTGAGCCATTGTTGTTAATCTCTTGCTTGCTTATATAACGTCTCTTTCAAAAATCTCTCTTTCGAAAATCTCTCTCTGCACTCGTTTTCTAAAACCTTCTCTTAAACCGAGGTCAGAGGCTCGAGCATACGTCGCTTGGCCGTAGGCGACGTAAGAACAAATTGGCTTAGCTCACTTGTCGTTGGAAAGTGAGTGCCACACAATCGCAAGTCTGCTGCCATCAAGAGTGCAATTGTGACACTGGACACTGAAGGGAGGTGGATTGTGAGATTCCACGTTAGTTGGGGAGGAGAACGAAACATTCTTTATAAGGGTGTGAAAACCTCTAACATACGCATTTTAAAACCTCGAGGGAAGCCCGCAAAGAAAAGTCGAAAGAGGACAATATATATACTAGCAGAGGAGAGGAGTTGAGATGAGATGTTACACGAAAGTTCCTAAACCATACCTTTCTTTTACTGGCCCAAAGAGCTTGTAGTAATCTGGAAAGCCTTGAAGTCTTGCATTTTCACGAATTGTCAATACTCTTTCTTGCTCTGGATGCAAAATTGCCTATGGACGTGAAGGAAATGAGTTGATGATATTAAATCATTTCTCCCAAGCAAAAGCAATAAAAGAGAAGAAACGCAGAGTTAACCTGGTTGTGAGGCTCTGCCCGAGTAACAACTGTAGGCACTGTCTCGTCCCACCATAACCGCCCAAATGGCCTTCATCGTTTCATAAAAATGGGAAATATAAGTGAAGGGTTATGACATTAAAATGAATAAAACGCCATTGCTTACTTTGGTGATGATCCCTTTACAAAAGTCATGGCATAATCAGGAACCTGCGTTTGCAATGACATAAGATAAAATACTGACTACAAACGGAAAGAAACCAAATAATACACATAATAGCCCAAGCCCACCGCTAGTAGATATTGGATTTTCCCTTTCGAGTTTCCTCTTAAGGTTTTTAAAACACGTCTACTAGGGAGAGGTTTCCACACCCTTATAAAGAATGATCCGTTCTCTTCTCCAACCGATGTGGGATCTCACAATCCGCCCCCCATCGAAATCCAACGTCCTCGCTAACACTCGTTCCCTTCTCCAATCGATGTGAGCCCCCAATTCACCCCCTTCAGGGTTCAGTGTACTTGCTGACACACCTCCTTGAGGCTTAGCCTCCTCGCTGGCACATCGCTAGTGTTTGGCTCTGATACCATTTGTAAGAGCCCAAGCCCACCACTAGTAGATATTGTCCTCTTTGGATTTTCCCTTTCGAGTTTCCTCTCAAGGTTTTAAAACACGTCTACTAGGGAGAGGTTTCCACACTCTTATAAAAAATGATTCGTTCTCCTCTCCAATTGATGTGGGATCTCACAATCTGCCCCAATCGAAATCTAGTGTCCTCACTAACACTTGTTCCCTTCTCCAATCGATGAGGGTCCCCTCAATTCACCTCCCTTCAAGGCTCAGCGTCCTTGCTGACACACCTCCTCGAGGCCTAAGCTCCTCATTGGCACATCGCATAGTGTTTGGCTCTGATACCATTTGTAAGAGCCCAAGCCCACCACTAGCAGATATTGTTCTATTTGGATTTTCCCTTTCGAGTTTCCTCTCAAGGATTTTAAAATACGTCTACTAGGGAGAGGTTTCCACACCCTTATGAAGAATGATCCGTTCTCCTCTCCAGCCGATGTGGAATCTCACAATCCGCCCCCCATCGAAATCCAGCGTCCTC